TTGGGGTAGGTGCACCACCCATTTTAGTCTATTTTGGTGGGGATTGGGATGTTCACTGGGGGTACGGGGTTTTGACCCGTGGCCATATGAGTATGAATCTTACTTGGGGACCCTTTGCCAGCGTGTTAACATTCACCGCCATGAGCCACGGACAACATACACGTCGAGGTGAATAAGTGACGCGGGAACATTGGGGTTCGCCCCCCAGTTTTCGGTTGAACATTTAGAGCTCTTCCCCCTTTGTGCCCCTCCCAAGCGCACAGACTAGTGCTGTTGTGACTGAACCTCATCGCCCCGCGGCCAAAAAAACCTTGAAGGGAGCCAGCCATGCGCCACCAGTCGGCAGTTTTTTGTTTTTTTTTGTCTGCGAGGATGCCTACTGCTTGCTCCACCGCGGGAAGCTGGGCTACGCGGACGCGCTGCTGCGGGCGAGCCCGAGCTGCCGGAGCCTGGAGAGCCTCGGAGCCGCCGCGGGTGGAGCCGCGCAGGAGGCGCTCCTAAGGCCGGAGCGGGTCCCAAGCTGTCGTGCGCCTCAGGGGTGGAAATCCTGCACCACCTAAAAAACCCGAACCCCCCTCTCTATATATATATATATATGTATATATATATATATCAACAAACAGTGGTTTCCCATGGTTTCCATGTGGTGCAGGATTTTGTCCATCCACAGTAGGAAGGGGGAACCATAGCACTAGTAGTGGTGAAAAATCCGTTTCGGGGTTTCTCCATTTTTGACTCACCGCTACATGCGCGCCGAAAAAAAACCGCTGCTTTCACGGGACGCAGGCCGATCCTTGACCTGGTCACGGCCCTCCGTGCTGTGGGCGCGGAGCCCACGCGGCTTCACCGGAGAATACGGGGATGTTGGGACCAAGAACTGGGCTTGGCTTGTTTTTGGGGACCCCCCAAATGGTGGTTTCCTGCTTTGGTTTCCCTTTCAAACCACCAAGAAGAACTCGGGGAGTCATTGTTTCGAGACCCCCGAAATGGTGGTTTCCCCCTTTGGTTTCCCTTTCAAACAGAAAAAGGGAGTGCCCTCAAAAAAGACAGAAAGCCCTACGGGCTGGGGGTTCAAGAAGGGGGTGGGGCTCCCTAGGGACCCAAGAGAACTCACCCCCCTCATACCAGCATCCCTCAAAGATTCCACAGTATAGGGTGGGGAGGCTCATCCATCCTTTTTTGGCCATCCATGTTCTAGGCCATCTATTTTTGGCCAAGGAGCCATGGGATGTCCATCTTTGGCCCTTCTTGTTCTTGTTGCTGTTGCTTGGCGACGATGTTGTTTCGAAGGCGAAATCGCACTGCCGTCGTTGCAGACTTTCCATGACCGACAGCGCCAGTATTCAAGCTCTGGTTTGAACACAGCCCGAATTTTCTTCGTGGTGAAGCTGCGTCGCTTGTTTGAGCTCAATGGTCCTGTCGGACAGTGACGCGAACATACTTGTCTATGCTAGATGTGGAAGTATTGTGTGGAAGTAAAGGGCTGGCTCTCTTGTGGTTTCGCAGTTTGAGGCGCGTCGCTCACAATATTATTGGTAATCTACTTCTCATTTGAGACGGACATGGGGGGACAAAACCTAAACCTAAGCCGAAACCTAAACTCAGAATTGTGTGGACCTTAAGCCACAACACAAACCCTAAACGGTGTTGGCCTAAGCCCTACGCGTGTTGACCCTACTGTTGAACCGGAGCCCTCAATCGCGTGGACTCTAAAAGTAGACCTTGAGCCGGAATCCGTGTGGAACCTGAGCCAACATCTGAGCTCAAAGTTGCACTGGACCGGAACAGTAAGCCCCACTGCACCCTGAGAAGAGTGCAACATCTGCCACGGAGGTCCATTCGTTAGCGAACACTGCAAATGTAAGTTGCTTGATCGGGCATGCACGCTGCACTGGACCCCCTACCCGTTTGGCGGACTTTCCACAAGTCATTGTGTACAACAAATCACCTTGAACTGGGGTTCGCTCACCGAAATGCAAGGTCAGCGTGGCAAGCACACATCTTGACTGAGGCGTGCTCCAGCCAAACAGCTGGCTCGCTTGCGCCAGGTGATCCCAGCTTGTGAGCTTGAAACCACCAGCCCCCGTTTCCCAGAGCTCAACGGAGGTTGTCACGAGCACAGCGGCCCCTCTGATCCTCCGGCCCCCCTCCCCCTTCCCCCGGTTTGGGCCTACGCATGCGATGCGAGGTTGGTCTTCGACGGCGGGCCGCTGCCCGCGAAAGACGCCACCGAGCGCTCGCGTCGCCAGGCTCGCGAGCAAAGGAATCACCTCGAGAATTGATGGGGTGGACGAAATCGGCACCGTCTAGCCCATAATTTTCAGGTTTCTTCTATCCCAAGTGGTGCTGGATTTCGTCCACTCAGAGTAGGGGTCCTCTTGCCTTTGTTTTTTTCCGCCAGGGACCAGCTTCTTTTGATTGTTTACATGGGTTTGGGTAGACCTCTTTAGTACCAGGCGTTGATTGTGGCTCGTTTCGAGCGAGCCATGATCAACTCCTATTTTCGCCGTTTGGCCCGTCAAAACCGCCGGCCGGCAATCGGAATCCTTTTCCGGGTGTATGACAAACAAAACTGAGCCAGATGGCTTGACCATCTGGGGTGGCTCAAAATTAAGCAGGAGGGGTTACGCAGTTTTTGGTGCATGTTTCCACTTACCAGGGTTCCATTTTGGTACCGGTTTGTTGAGCCACAGCCATATGTCACATCTGGATTCATGTGAGGCACGCGATGCTGCTATGTGGCGCGCAGCGGTCTCTGCCAACTCCGCACCATCTGCAAAGCTCCTGGGAGGTGCAGTAGATATCACGCCGGCGACTTGGCTTGCTTTTCAGCCTAGGAACGTCCAGAATGCCAATCCAGTGTAAGCAAGACTGGTTCAACAAAAGGGAGTTATCCCGTCCCGCCCCATTTCTAAGATCTGCATTTTTTTTTTGCGAATTTCTATAGAGAAGCTGAATGGGTTCGTCCACAGAACCTCCGGCCACTTCTGTTCGAACCATCTCTCAGGACATGGCGGCGAAGTGCGTTCAGCGCATACGATCTACGGGCGTGAGCTGCATCGTGGCGCCCTGTGCCTCGAAGAATGAGACATGATTCGTTCCAAGCCGACCGCTTTTTTTTGGGACCTGGGGATGGATCTTCTTTGGGCCCCCAAGGGGGAGGTTGGGCCTGAATGCCGACACCAATTATGGGCATTCCCCGAGTGAAGGATTCTGATTTAAATGGCTAATCAACCAGGGTTCATTCTCCTGGGTCGCTGTTCCTGCCAAGACACCCCCTTTGCTCGGGGGTTGGGATGATCGTCAACCCCACGGGGAATTTGGACCGCTTCCCCAAACAACCGAGCCATTGCAAAGCGGGAATCTGAACTGAAGCGTGCAAGCAGCAGCGCGGACCCTCACCTCAGATATGGTCCTCTTGATCAAGCCAAAGTGATCATGATCCCCAGATGTGAAGCCACTCTCAACCGTTTTTTCTTTTTGTGTTTGCAACCAAAAAGTGCCGCTTTTTTGGTGCACTACTTTTGACCCATCCCCTCCCTTCCGCTCCCTTCCGCTCCCTTCCCCTCCCTTCCCCTTCCGGCGAGGCGAGGCGGATGCCCAGCTGGCCTTCCTGGCGCTGAATGCGCGGGTGGACGTCTGCATCAGCGAGGACGTGGACCTCCTGGCCTTCGGCTGCCAGCGGGTGCTCTACGGCCTGGCCCCTTGGCCGCCCGCACCCGACTCCGACTGTGCGTGTGTGTGTGTGTGTGTGTGTGTGTGTTCATTTTATTTTTTTTGTGTGTGTGCGTGCGCTTTGGGGTGTTGGGTTTGCGGGGCGGACCCGGGGAGGGGGGGGGGGATAAAGCGCTTATTTTTGCGCATGTCACGGGTCGTTCATTTGGAGGGCAAGCCTTTGTGGCTGCTTTGAAGGGAAAGGCAACACCTTTTTTCGGGGTTCGCCGATTTTGAGACAGACCCTTATACTCCCCGTTGCGGAATGGGCAAACATTGCAGTGACTCATGGTCACTTTGAAGGGCTTTTCAACTGAATGGTGCGTTGTGTGGGAACGATCACCCCTTTTTTGTTGGTGTCTGCGAGTTGGCGATTCCAGACTGGAGCAGAAGGTTCCAAACATGGGGGATCCCTGAACACGGCCGGTTTCCCTTTGGCTTCCCTCCAAATAAGGCTCCAACCCATGCAACAGGGAGCCATAAATGGTGGGCTCTCAAACTGCTGCATCGACTCAGCTGGCGCGAAAGCCCAGCGAGCAAGCGCGCAAGCAAGAGAGGGGGAGCAAGCAAATGAAGGTAGAGGCAGGCAATGAAATATACACCCAAAGAAGCTGCCCGCATTTGTGGTGATTATTTCCCTCTTCTACATCCATTGTAAAGGGAACTTGAGCTTGTTTGGCCCTTCTTCGGCCTTGCCCCTTCTGAAAATCATTTGGAGCCTTCAATTTTCTGGGATCCTTTGACTTCTTTGACACATTTCAGGGTCTTGTCATCCCTCCTTCCCCTTCTCTTTTCCCACTGTGGACGAAATCCATTTCGCACCACTTTGGTTTCAATGGTGGAAACCCATTAGCTTGTTGGTATTTACCGCTTTGAATCGACGCATCTCAGGGTTCCTTTGCTGCCACATGGACATCTCGGCCCTGTGGCTGTGAGTCAAGACCGTTTTGGGATCCCATTTTGGGGTAGGTGAATTCACTCATTTTATGAGTCTATTTTAGTGGGGATCGGGATGCCGCGAGGACCTGCGCTCGGGCTGCGGCCAGGAGCTGCGGCGCGCGGAGCTGCGGCGCTCCAAGGGCCTGGCGCCCTACCGCCTCGACCCGGAGCGAGCGATGCTTTCGAAAATTCGGACCCGAATGGCAAGCCGGCGGAGGTTTCTCCGGTAAAATGGGTCTATATTTTTGGTTATGAATGGGGGTGTAGTGGGTTTCATATCCCGTACCCCACTTCACTGGGCTCAAGACCTGAGGTTTTCTGAAGCACTTCGGACCCCTTCAACGCAACATTCCACTGCGATCGCAATGATTTGGTCTCCTGAGCTGCTCTCCAGCGCGGTGCGGATTTTTAGAAAGTCCGCGCGCGCCCACATGAACATTCCCGGCTTGCATACACACAACAAAGGACATTGCCGCCAGCATGGAAAACGCGTGCCGCTGAAATATGGCTTGGTCTTGAAGGTGCTTTGCTTCGGGGTTTTAGAGTTAAATCGCCTGAGGAATCTGAAGTCTTTCATATCTCATTTAAACTTCTTTCATTGACAAGGGTAATGGACTGTTTTCGGCTCTTTGTGGGGGGGAGGGACCCCATCCTGATTGGACACCAACACGGACCGCGGCCGTTCGGCCGGTGTGTCTCAAACAACAACATGGTTGGCTTGGCAGGTGTGTTTGTCAAACATGGGCATGTCTTGCAGTTGAGGGTACCCTTTTTGGTGTTGTCAAAGAAACAAAAGGAATCCCACCGAGTTCAGGGATTCTGGCATATGGGCACAAGCGCTTAAGTCTCTGAATCGCAGTGAGATCACGGACTGCTTTTCTATCAGGAGACACTGGCAGACCTCTGCGTGCTGGGTGGCTGCGATGCTTGGCTCGGATCTTTCTTTCGGAACACTCATGATCTGGCTATGGGTTTGAATGGTAACAAAGAGGGATTTTGTCGAGGGTACCCGCGACATTGACAGGAAACACTTCTGTGATACCAGCATGCGCATCATGCGCCATATCCCTACCTCATTGGGGCATGGCACTTAGTAAGTGGTTGGTACCCATGGTTATAGCCCACTTGCCATGGTTATTAGTCTCCTAAGTCTGTTACAACCATAGATAGCAACCACTTACTAAATCCCCTGCCCCTTTAAGTACCTCATGTTCCACAACCCTGAGGACTACTTGCCTTCCTTGCCGCGGCTTGGCCTTCGCACTGCTGCGCAATTGTTGCACCGCGGCAAAGGCAGGGCCGACGGACGACGGGTCACGTGGCCATAGCAAAACCGTCAAACGGTCCTGTAGGTTTGATACCTGCCGCTGTGCCAGATTTTTGTTGCCCTACTGAACAAAGTGCCCACCGGGCACAGTCAGAGCTTTGTGCGAGATGGGGCAAGGCGCTAGGATTTCGGCCCTGAACACTGCGTGCCACTTGGCACTGACTCTAAATCCTCTCCCTGAAGAGGTTGGATCCATCACCTTGCCCCCTCAAAACCCCCTGATTTGTCTGCAAGGGAAATCCAGAACGCGGGGTTTGCAGCTACACTCTCCCTCAGACTAACCTGGAAGCTCCCAGAAGGCCTTTTGCAAACAAGTCTTCAGGGGTCCAGGTTCCATGGAATCGTCTGGGGGAGGGTATACCCATTTCAACTGCTTGGTTTGGCCCAGCGCCCGATCAGGAAGTGTGTCCCGCGCCCTGCAGCTGGCCCGGCGCGAGGGCATCACGGCGCCCCGGCCCCCCTTTGCTTGGGTTGCTGCAACAGACAAGTGTGCCATTTGTTGCACATTGGCCATTTGAGGTCTATGATCTTGACAGTTTCAACTGTTCTGCCCTCCCAGATGGTTGGACGCACATCCCCACAATTTCGGCCAAAGGTCCCCCACTTGAAGCACTTGAAGTTCAAACCCAGTTGACTACGGATGAAATGGGAACCCTGGGTCGATTGATTTGGGCTCGTTGTGGAGACCTACAATGTGACATGCGACATGTCAGGAAGCAATTGACACGCACTCAGCACTCAAGGGAAGATCTGTTGCCGCAATCACTGCCAACACAACGGAGCTGGTTGAGGCAAGCAGAAGTGTCTGCATAGCAAGCTGACAGGTTCAGAAGAAAGGGTTGATGCTTGCAATGAGGCTGCGCAACTTACTCCCCTGCGAACATTTTATAGAACCCAGAACAGGAGGTGCCGCAGGTCCCCCAAAAGGATTGCGGGTGCCATGTGAATCTGCCGGGGATGTTGCTTTGCTTCCCTGGAATCGTACCTTCGGCCCGCTCTTGTCCCCACTTTTTCCCTTGCTATTCCAGGGCTGCACATTAAGCACATGCGTATCCTTTCAGTGGCGTGATGTTTAAGCAGGACATACAGGGAGCCCTGTATTTTTCGCATTCTTGTCTCCACGCTTTTCTGTTGTTATTCCTCACGTTTGTCTTGGCCCTTCTTTCCTCTCTCCCTTCCTCGCTCTTCTTCCCTCATTCCTATTCTTTCCTCACTCTGCTCGACATTGCCTCGCTCTTCTTTCCGCTCTTGTCTCCGCTCTGCTTCCCGCAAGTTTGGTTGCCTGTTCTTTCCTTGCCCTTCTCCCTACTTTTCTCAGTTCTTTGACTTGCTCTTCAGATTGCTCTCTCCACCCGGATCTTTAGTCATCCGCATGCTCTCTCAGCTTTGCTCTCTGTTTTTTAGTTGTTCCCCACCTGTTATGTTGGTTTCCTTGGATTCTCCTACTATCGGACCTGCCGATCCTTAATCCTTCCTGTGGGCTTCCACAGGGGTCCCTTGGTAGTTTCCAAACAGAAATCATCATCGTGGCTTACCTGTCGAGAACCCTTGGGTTTCGCAAAGCGGGCCTTTTTGGAGTATCCGGTTTTTGGATTGGGACCCCGAACCGCATTTCGTGTTTCCTTTTGGATTTCCTTTGAACCCAAGCAACGCAGGGGGGATACCGCGCAAAAAAAAAGAAAGCCCGAGAGACGCTTGGCGCCCCTTCCGCACCTTCCGCACGCTCGCGAAACCCCCGAGGTGCCCAGCGAGTACGGCCGGCGCTTCGCAGAGGCGCGCCTGGTCTTCTCGTGCCAGGCGGTGCCTTGGACCGATGTTGCGGAAGTTGGACCCTGTCGTTGCCATGGAACCCACCAGAAGCTTTCGAAGGGAGAAGCCTCGTTTTCCAGGATTCCCCCAAAAAGTCAGGTTCCCTATTTGGTGGATGGGAGGGTACGCTTGTTTGGGGTTGGCTTAAAGGGACACCGAAAGGAAACCAAAGCCAGTTTGGGGCCAGTCTCTTCTTTTGGACACACATACACACACACACATGCCTCGCCCGTATTTTTGCCACTTGGGTGTTTGTCAAAAGGACCATTTCGGCTGGTTTCCTTTTGGTTTCCCGAAAAACACCAGCCAGAAAGGGGTTCCACACTTTGAGACAGACCAACTTGGAGGGTGACTTTGGCAAACTCATGAGCTCAGTACACGTTAGATTTCTTGTGGTTGAAGCTCCTGGCAAGGATCAATCATCAAAACAAGTGCCGGGGGGCCCTTTTTGTTTTGGGAGAGGGGTCCTGTAAACTGAGCCATCACCCCAAAAGGTCAAAGGGCGCTTGCATCGACGGGAGGTGTCATCTGATTAGTTGGGTTACAATTCCCCGGGCAGAAACATATTGGTTGAAGCTGGATGCTCGAGAAATGGAGGTGGCTCCCCTTTGGAAGGGCTTGAAATGTCGATTCCTTTTGATGCCTAGTGTGATTTGTCCATCCTTTGGTTCTCCTTGAAAACACCCCCTTGGTTCGCCTTCAACACCAGCCTTAATTTTTAAGGGTGCCCTCAAAACATGACAGGTGTCCGTTTGGTTTTCCTTCAAAGAAATCATGCGCTTCACCGAACGTTCACTTGGAATTCAGCAAGGTTCAGAGTGTAACAACCGGCCGCTTACACCATCCCTTTCTGACAAAAAAGAAGGTCCCACAAAACGGGGCACAGGTCTTCAACGACGAGACGCGGGAGCTGCAGCCGTTGCGTCCGTTGCCCGTCTCCGCGGACGCTCATTGCCGGAAGCTGCTGGGGCTGAACCTCAGTCATTCTGCAGCTGGGACGCAGTGGGAAGCCTTCAAGTGATCGATATGTCCGGCCCCAGGGGCCCAAATCAAGAAAGTGACCGAGTGTTTTTGGTGGCCCAAAGGCTCCTTTGGCCAGGGGACACTTATTTAGCCACATTCAGCCTCAACAAGGCTTATTGAGCCCCCTAATCTTGGGGGTGTTTGGGGGCAGTCGCTTGTAGGGTCTCCGACAAAGTATGTCCCATGGTTGTCTTTTGTTTAGGTCTTCCCTTGTTGGCAAAGCTGGTCCTTAACTTAAACTGGACGTACAGCTAAACCAGGATTGTCCATGAACTCCCTACTGTGGATGGACGAAATCCTGCACCGCGTTGAAACCAAGGAAGCCCGCTGTTTGTTGGTATTTGCAGGGGAATGAATCATCATTCCAGGGTTTCTTAAATGGTGCAGGATTTCGGCCATCCACGGTAGGAAATCGGATTTGCAGGCTTCATGGCTGCATGTGTTTGCCATGCCCAGTCACATGGTGAGCGCTAGTGCCAACCCGCCAAACTCGTTTTGGTCTTTTCCTCGTGAACTGAGAGGTTGCGACGACTCACAAACTAGACAAACGTTTGAAGGAATCATCATGGACAGACATGTTCGGATAATTCTAGTGGCGTGCCAACTAGACTTGGAGCACCTTTGCCCTGCAGATTCACGAGGAACCCAACCCAAACCCTTTGCGAGCGCTCAACTATTCCAAACGACATGCCGGGCTTGAGCCCACCGCAACACAAAGCGAAAGCTTTGGAGATGGCAACTCGAAAGGCCTGCAACGACATCGAAATCTGTAGCGCAAATTGCTTGGAATCCGTACAGGAAAACCGCAGCAAGCCAAACAGCTGGATTCTCAGAGCAAGGGGCTTCTGAAAACAAAACTGCAGCACATCCATTTTTAATGTTCGTTTTTCCGCCCTTATTGCGACCCGTTGGAGTGGTTGCGCAAATCAGTTTGGACCCTTCGCGTGGGCTTCACGTTCTTTTTGAAGCGATGTTGCCGGCCCAAAGAGGTTTGCCAGACTGAGCTCGGATTCTTGGGATCATTGGAGCTCTGGTGCTCATCGATCTGTGCACTTGGACAACCAAGGCAGCATTGGAGATCTCCGAAGCGCGGCTGAATCCTTTCACACTTCAGCCGTTTGCCACGGTGGAGGCTTTGTGTGCAGTCCCTGACACAAAGGACAGCCCAGGGATTGCCCAGAAGGGCGCAGAGATCTTGGAGTCAGAGAAGTCGCACCAATGGGCTTTTTGGCTTGCCTTCTTTGTGCAGAAATGACAATGAGCAACGACTGCAATTTGAAGAGCCACGAGTCCTGGAGAAGGAAGGGCCCCTTAGGCCACTCTGAAACCTGGGGCTTCTTGAAACCAAGCCTCAGCTACAACCTGTTTGAGCTACTCGAGTCTCAAACCCAAATCCACTACTCACCTCATCTAACATCCGACATGCCCTGCCATTTGACACGCAGCCCACTCCGTGCATGCTGTGGAGGAGAATGGTTCAGAGGAGACCAGCCAGTCTTCCTTGGCCATGCAAGCATTTCGACGGCCGCGATCAGCAAGTGATGGAGTCGCCCCTGCAGAAGCTGGGCAGAGGGTGCACAGGGGATTTCTCCTGCCCATGAGCTTTTTTTTTGACCCCAATATTTTACGTGTTTTCCAAACAAACATAGCTTGAGATTTCATTGTCAGATGTGGTTGCTTGGGAAAGCGCCTGGACTTTTGGGGCGTTTTGGGCCCCAGCACAAGCACAACAGCAATCGGTTGTTTGCCACATGCCATTGAAATTAAGGAGATGCCGGAAGTGAAGGCGGAAGGCAGGGACAATGACCTCTGTCAGCCGATTCATTCTGCTCGAGTGGCTGCCAGTGATCGTCCCGGGAAAGCGCTTGGTCGTGTTTTGGATGTCGATGCGCGGCTGCAGGATAACAGAGGGGCACCCAAATTGCGTTTCTCGCCCTTCACGCGGCATCGCACAGAGGTTTCCTTTGTGTCACTCTCGGCGTTGAACCAAGCTCCACTCTCGGCGTTGAACCAAGCTCATAGCCTTGATGTAATCACGTGACTGTGATCCCCGTCACACAACCCCCAGAGACGCAGGTTGGGCTCCCTGAGCTCAAAGAGCCTGTCAGCTCATTTGGAGTACTCCCCTTGCAAACCGCGCGTGTCCTTTTTTTTGGAGGAACCTTTTTTTTTTTTTGTGTGGCTTTAAGGGGAAGCCAAACAGCCCACCTCCATTTTTGGGGTTTCCTAGCTCAAAGACAAACCCAGGATTAACATAGAACCCGCACCAGGGGGCCCCAAAATTAGATTCCTCAGGTGGGGTTCCACGTAAATTTGCAGGGGAGCCACTGTCAATATTAGTTTTAGTCGTTTACTGTTCCGTTCCCATTTTGGCTCAAGCCATTTTGGCTCAAGTCCTTCCGGTGGTTGTGGTGTGAAGACCGATTTCGGGCACGTCGTGATGGTCTACACCTGGTTCAACAGGAAGTGGTGATATGGCCGCAATGGTCGTCATTCAGTGGCAGTACATGGTTTTTGCAATGGTGGTGTGGAACATAGTGGTCATGTCAACGCGCATACAAGTGCCCCAGCTGGTTTGCAGCTCTGCAGCCGACAAGGTTGAACGTCTTGGAGCGTGTTTCTCCCTGTGCTCTGGTGCTTTCGCTTTGCTTCGGGTTTCGGGGAGATGTTGGCTACGTGAATGTCATTGGAAAGGTTTTGCATTGAAGTTGTGATGGGGAAGGGCTGTAATCAGGTCTTAAGGCGAAGATGTGGGTGTGATTTACAGGAGAGCTTGTTTCGTGCAGAATATGGCGCCGCCTTCTGTGATGGACTACGAGATGATGTGCGACGTATACTGTGGTTTGACGTGTCTGGATGTCTGCGCAGCACGGCATCGCAGTGCGATTGCGCAGGTATCGTGCTGCGCGCCCAGCTACGCATCCTCCTGTGGCAGTCTCCCATGAAGCCACACAAGTGGCGCTTTGTTCTTTTCTGGAAAGTACCTGCAAGGATTGTGTTATGGTCGCTGCGCGGTCACCTGACGCTCTGGGCTTTCTACGGGAGGTGCGCAGCTTGCGCACCCGCTTCCAATGTCGCGCGATATCACCGAGCACTGCGCAGTGCCGACAGCAAGGCGAAGCCAAAAAGTAGATTGCTGTCTGTTAGGACGAGCAGGAAGGTGACAACCCAAATTTCCCAGACGTGTGACGTGCGCACCAGGAAAGGCCCGCTTTCCCATGGAAAGCACTGAAGAAGAAGTGCAAAACGCGCAAGGCATTTGGGGAAGGTGTCAAGTAGTGTTCTGAGAGTCCTTTAGCCCTGGTGCGTGGTCCAAAGAATTGTTGGGGCCATCTTCTGTTTTGCTCCGAGGACTTGCTTCTGGCCGACGCTACCTCACCACCTCCGCCGAAGCGCCGGCGCTTGGGCTGCCGACCAGGGCCCCGAGACGGTGGGGCATAACGCGATTTTTTGCCGAGGGGTTGAAGATCACAGACCGGCTCAACACACATGCGCATGTACGCGTTGATTTCTAGCTGGAAGCTCGTCCAGTCTGAGCACATGCCGATTGTTGTTATTCAACATGACTGAACCTGTGCAAGGAACTGGATCTCAGGATTAGGATTAAAACAGCTTGGGCCCTATGAAAATACAAGCAACAAAGGAACAATATAAGGTCGCGAGCATCTTCAACGCAAGTTGGGAATATTGCGCCTTCCAGCAACACATCCCGGCAGTCAATTACAGCCTGGCAATTTGTGATGACTCCCATGCAACTGCCCAGAAATTGCACAATAATTCGAGCTGGCAAGGATTCGATTCGCCGGCGAGGGGTCAACGTGCATGACCAGCTGCACTTGCTCGAGTGCCCTTAAAGGGACGAGCTGTGCTTTTGACCCCATGTGCGATGATCAGGAATTCGTCGACTCGTTGCCTTTAGCGCATGTTGGTTTGATGGTGGAGCGTTGGACGCTCCGGCCGATTTCACGCCACGGGGCTTCACCGGGGCGTGCTGATTTTCCTTATGTTCTGTTGGGTGGTTGTTACAGCGAAGACAATAAATCCTGGGATGGTCCCCTTTCGGACACCCACATGGTGAGGCTTTAGCCATCTTTCGCTTCGGAAGCTGCAGTCGGCAGCGGGGCAAGGCTGCGGGCAAAGAGGTGTGCGTCCGACCTATTCGCGCCGCAAAACGGGGGGGGGGACCCCGCTATTATGGCCCTGGGTTTCTCATTTTAAGACACACGCAGTGTTCAAGATGTATTTGCTGTTCCTTGTGCCACGTGTCGCTTTTTTCAAGCGGGCTGCTGCGGAGGCTACGTCTCCCTCATGTGTGTTGAGAAAACCGCCACGCATGTAGCTTCAAGCCACTTATGCTTGATGAGCTGAGGCGGAGGATGAGGGTATCCCCAGCACAGCTGAGATCTCAGTACAGTTCAGTGAGGCAAATCCAAGGTAGCCAAGCGGCGAAGCCGCTGTGAACAGCGCATGGAACGCGTGAACGACAATCCACGCGTGTTTTCCCTGCCCAGGCAATCAGGGAGATCTCTCTCTTGAAGGAGTTGCAGCATCCAAACATAGTGAGGCACGTGATGCACTAAAGCTTCATCAGAGCACATGTCAATCCGCGCCGTCCTCTTGCGAGCATCGCTTGAATTCGGCTGTTCTGTTATTTGATTTTCCTGCTTCACAGGGTTGCATCCTCTTGTCCCAAACGAGCGACCAAAAGCCATTGACGTGCTAGGAAGGACGCCCGCGTTATGGGCCCGTTGCGTTGAACTGGCGGGGAAGTGGCAATTGCTTGCTCCAGGCTTTGCGATGTAATACACACGGAACGCAAGCTGACGCTCGTGCCGCGCGCTGAGCGTGTCTCAGCGCAGCCACAAGCAGGGTTGGGTATTCTCATTCAAATTGACATGGCAACCTAAAAGGGTCCCTCTCAAAGGGGGACTCGTCTAAAAGTGGATGGTTTTGTTCCATGGTGATCTGGCGAGTGCTGATCAATATCTTCACAGCTGTGGGATTGGTGCTTTGGCCTCGCTAGCCAGAGGTTGCCAGAGATGGTCTCTTTGGGAGTGTCCCTCTCAGAACCCCTTTGCCTTTTTTTTCCAGGGGAAGAACACCTATGCAGTTTCGTTTGCCCAGCATGGGGAGAAGAACAAAGCGCATGCGCTGCCAGATTCGAGTACTTGGATCAAGACCTCAAGAAGCTGCTGGACATGTGTGATGGGGGCTTGGACCCAGCCACCACCAAGGCGCTGCAGCATGTGTCTTTAGTGTCTCTTTTCGAGGCTAGGTATCCTTTTTGTAGTTTTTGTTTAGTCCCCTTATGTTGACGCATACTCACTTGACCCCCAGAGAATTGGGGGTGCACACGTCTCATTTTTCTGGTTCTCTTTACAAAGCCTGGGGCCCAATTCCAGGACATAGAAGCCTTTGGCTATTCCAAGCAGAAGGCTACCTCTGAATGGATCAGCCTGCACAAGCATTCTGCAGATGAACATGGACTCCTGAAAACCACCGTGTTATTTATTACTGGAATCTGCTTTTGGGCACATAGGACCAAGAATGGACACCTGGCTGGTGACATGTCATGTTGACAAACAGCCGGCGATGCGATGGAGGGCCCTTTTCTTGCCGCTTGCACCCCTCCCCCCCCCCCCGGCTGGTGAGGATTGCCAAGATGAGTTTTCCGCCAGACTTCTGCAGGTCAAAGTTTCGCCCTTTGTTGGCCACAATTGCGAGTTTCTCAAAATGGGTGTGTCTGTTTTTGAGGGTATCCTTCTTTGGGGTGGGTTTAGAGGAAAACCAAAAGGACACCACCTGTTTGGAGGCTTTCCCTATTTTGAGACAAACCCAAATGGTGCACCCACTTCTGGTTCATATGTATTTCAAGAAACATCCAATAGTGTTCCAGCCGACGTTGCCAGTCCTTCCTCTACCAGCTCCTTCGGGGAATAGCGTCGCACGCCTAGTCCTTCATTGCTCACGGCAATGCATGTGGGCGCATTAAGTAGCCCGAAACCGAAGGATTCATTGCGCATTTGGCCCATGTTGGTTTGCATCTTGGGGGAGCCCCTTTGTACAAATCCCCAATTAGGGACCTCTACAAATCAGTCCATGCTGATTTCGTGAGGTATTGCCACGCCCATCGAGTTTTGCATCGTGACTTAAAGCCTCAGAACCTGTTGATCAATAGAGTCCGCGCCCCAGTGAGCGGTTTCGTTCTCGTCCAGGGGGACGTGAGTGCCCAGTATGGTCATGAATCCTACGGATTTATGACAATTGCTAAGGGTTCTGAAGGAAGACGAGCAGTGCCCATAGTTGAAGCCTTTCGGGATTGAAGTTGCCAGCAGTGTTCCCCAGGAGGAAAACGATGCTTCTCCAAGACAGCGGGCCAAACAACCCGGGTGAACATGTGGCCGTCTTTGCTTTCTTGATTCGTGCTCCCCTTTCCCAATCGGGTTCCGGTGGCCCGTTGTTTTCCGCCAGCCGACAGACGCTGTGATTCGTTCCACGCTGTTCAGCCCGTTCTGTTCAAAATACCCTCACAACATGGAAGTGCAACAAGGCCAACTAACCAAGAGGACAGTCGTCTTTCAGGGGTCTGTGCGTCAAACCCATGTTCTTGGTAGGCGCCGCCGTTTTTTTTTTTTTTTTTCAAAAACGAGGAAGGCTCCCTGAAGCTGGCGGACTTCGGCCTGGCGAGGGCCTTCGGCATCCCCGTGCGGCGCCTTGGCGGACGGATTCAGAAAGGGAAACCGCAAGAAAACCACCGTGCTTCCCCAGAATTTGTTTTTTGTTGTTTTTTGCTTTTCTGGGGGGCCCGCTTTTTGTTCTCCACTAGGCCAAAAATATGTTTTTTTTGGCCGGGGTCCTAATTCCAGCCAAGTAGGCCATCGTTAGGGGAGACGAGAAGGGGGGGGACAATCACTTCCCACCTGGGGCTGATATGGCCATTGGGCCACATGGGCATATGGTTATAGGCTTCCCACCAGACTGCAGTGCTGCAGTTTCCTCATCTTCCTTGGGGGTCCCCTTGCTTCTCAATAGCCATGCGACAACTTCTCTTCGTGTCGAGCGGCTCGGGTCGAGTTCTCCTACCCCAATTCACTGGGCCATAGAGCCATTGGTCTACCCGTTGCAAAACACCGATTTCGTTGTTGCCGACCCACTTGTATTGTCCCCTTTTGACGAGAGGGGTATGAGCGACAGCAAGCCGTTCGGCTTCATATGTCTCAGGGGTACGTGAAAGCGGTACGTACAAGCACCCCGAAATCGATGACTTGGGAACTTGCTGTGCGGTCCAACTATGCATGCGCCAGGGTCCCAGTCAACAAGCAACATGAAGCCTTCCAGTGGCCTATGAATCTTAATAGGGAACCACCTCAAAAGTAGTTGGTGGACATGAATCCCGACCAAAATAAGGGTCCACAAATTCCCCTGGGTCCAAGCGGGCATAGTGGTTGAGTGGGAGTCATCGAGTTCTTCCTCTTCCAGGTTGCTCCTGGAAATTATGAGGTCCCTGTTTCAACCATTACCATCTGTGCCAAAAGGCCCATTCCTTGGCATCGAGCTTTTTTCATGAGTCCGGGGAGCCATGCGGGACACACAAAAATCGGGGGAGGGGGGGGACCACTGCTCTTTAGCGGTGTTTGAGAAGGCATGCGGATGGCTATTTACTTTTTTGATAAGTATTTCCTACTAACACGTGCGCAAAGGATGTCATAGGGGGAATGTGCCCCATGAGAGGTGCCCCCGGCAAATATTCTATGTACTCGATGTACCCTGTACCCATTGTAGGCACAATTCTCCCCAGGGTTGTGGTTGAGACCTTGAAAAACCAATGCCTACGAGTCACTTACTACTGCAGGGGAAAGATTCGTTTCTTTTCGTATGCTTTTGAGCCGGCCAGGAGCTATACGCACGAGGCGAGCCGTTTCCGCTGATTTCTCAAGCGATGATGGGGTTTAGCATCTAAGCATTCACGGGGTATTAGTTTTTACTCAGGATTAGGAAGCCATGGTTGATTGATGAAGGCGAGGCATTCCTTGTTGGAGGGCATCCAGGAAATGCCTTTTCCCGAATGCGCAGCATAGGGTTCTCGTTTCATCTTGGGGGTCTGGGGGTGAAGCCTTGTTCGCCGGATGTTGTGCAACCGTCCGCAACCGTCCGCAACCGTCCGCAACCGTCCGAGACCTTCGCAACCGTCTGCAACCGTCCGCAACCGTTGGCATGATTGCGCAATGGCTCTCCCAGTGGGGAAGCGCAGAACGCGTGAGTTTGATGACTTGTGATGTGCTGTTTTCGTTGGCCCTTAGCTTCGCAAGCTCGACGTGTCGTTTCGCTGCGCAAGTTTGCGTTGCAAATGCAGTGGGATTCGCGTCGTCTTTTTGAGGTGTTTTGCTTGGAATGCTTGCGCAAGCGTTTGCTGGAGTGTCGTTTTCATTGGCCCTGTCGTACAGTCGACTCGTTTTTCACTTTTCGTGACAGGCACCGTACTTTAGAGCTTTTCGTGCAGATTTCGTGACAGGCGCAGCACTTTGAGCTTTTCGTGCAGATTTCGTGGCAGGCGCAGTACTTTCGAGCTGTCACGCCGATGTCGTGGCAGGCGGATGGAGCCGTCGTGCTGAACTTGCGGCGCGGACCGGGGGTCGAATCGCTCTCGCTGTGGCGCGGTGCACTTTTTGAAACTGCAAAGTGAGCCCTCTGCGCACTTTGGGTTGGTCGAATCGCTCTCGCTGTGGCCCGGCGCACGCTTAAAAAATGCAAAGTGAACCCTCCGGGCACTTTGGTTGGGTCGAATCGCTCTCACTGTGGCGCGGTGCACAATGGAAATTGGAAAGTGGACCCTCTGCGCACGTTGGGCAAGTCGAATCGCTCTGTGGCGCGGCACGCGTTTTGAGACAAGAGACGTGTCGAGCGACCTGTCTCAGCAGTGTCGATCAGAAGTGTCGACCAGAAGTGTCGCTCAGAAGTGTTGCTCAGAAGTGTCGATCAGAAGTGTCGCCCAGAAGTGTTGCTCAGAAGTGTTGCTCAGAAGTATCGATCAGAAGTGTCGGTCAGAAGTGTTGCGCAGAAGTGTCCTTCAGAAGTATCGATCAGAATTGTGGCTCAGAAGTGTTGCTCAGAATTTTCGATCAGAAGTGTTGTGCAGAAGTGTCGCTCAGAAGTATCGATCAGAAGTGTTGATCAGAAGTGTAGTTCAGAAGTGTTGCTCAGAAGCGTCGATCAGAAGTGTGGATCAGACGTGTTTCTCAGAAGTGTCAATCAGAAGTGTAGTTCAGAAGTGTTGCTCAGAACTGTCGATCAGAAGTGTTGCGCAGAAGTGTCGCTCAGAAGTATCGATCAGAAGTGTCGATCAGAATTGTTGCTCAGAAGCGTCCGTCAGCAGAAGTGTCTAGCAGAAGTGTTGATCAGAAGTGTTCATAAGAAGCGTTGCTCAGAAGTGTCCCTCAGAAGTGTTGCCAGAAGTGTTCATCAGAAGTGTTGTTCAGAACTGTCGATCAGAAGTGTGGATCAGACGTGTTTCTCAGAAGTGTTAATCAGAAGTGTAGTTCAGAAATGTTGCTCAGAACTGTCGATCAGACGTGTCGATCAGAAGCGCGGATGAAAAGTGTCGCTCAGAAGTGCCGCTCAGAAGTGTTGCTCAGAAGTGTCGCTCAAAGTGTCGCTCAGAAATGTCAATCAAAAGTGTTGCTCAGAAGTGTCAATCAGAAGTGTCAATCAGAAGTGTTGCTCGGAAGTGTTGCTCAGAAGCTTCGATCGGAAGTGTTGCTCGCAATTGTCGCTCAGAAATTTCGATCAGAAGTGTGCTCAAAAAGTGTTGCTCAGGGGTACCGCTCATTGCTCAGACAGAGGCGTCGCTCAGATGTGTCGCTGAGATATGTGCTCAGGAGTGCCGCTCAGCAGTGTTGCTGATGCGTGTGTGTGTGTGTGTGTGAAATGTGGCTCAGACGTGTCGCTCAAAGGTGCTTTCAGAAGTGTCGCTCAGACGTGTCGCTCAGTGTTGCCCAAAAGTGTGTTCAGAAGCGTCGCTCACAAGCGACGCTTACATGTGTGTGTGTGTGTGTGTTTGCTCAGAAGTGTTGCTCGGAAGTGCTGATCAGAAGCATCGATCAGAAGTGTTGCTCAGAACTGTCGATTAGAGTATACCCAGCCATCCATCCATCCATCCATCCAGCCAGCCAGCCAGCCAGCCAGCCATCCATCCAGCCATCCAGCCATCCAGCCATCCAGCCATCCATCCATCCATCCATCCATCCATCCATCCATCCATCCATCCATCCATCCATCCATCCATCCATCCCATCCCATCCCATCCATGTTTACATACCTACATACATACATACATACATACATACATACACACATACATACATACATACATACATACATACATACATACATACATACATACATACATACATACATACATACATACATACATACATAGATAGATAGATACATACATACATACATACATACATACATACCTACCTACCTACCTACCTACATACATACCTACCTACATACATACATACATACATACATACATACATACATACATACATACATACATACATACATACATACATACATACATACATACATGTTTGTGTGTACGTGTATACGTGTATACGTGTATACGTGTATACGCACATACCTACATACATGATACATGCATGCATACCTGCATGCGTACATGAACACATGTATGCATACGTGCGCCTTTTTTTAAAAAGGAAAACACTTTTTTCCCCAACAGCTGAAAGCCTTGGGGTCTCAGCCTAGATAGGCTCCGGTCCTGGGCAGCCCTGAGGTAGGGTTCCACCAGCGCTCCACCAGGGTTCCACCAAGGTTCCACCAGGGTTCCACGAGGGTTCCATGAGGTTCTGCGAGGGTTGCGGGGTGGTGCGAGCGCCAAAAGGAGCACCGCATGCTGTTGGGGATATCACTGAGCTTGTTACTAGATATGTATGCATGCACACGGTTATGTACATATGCATAGGTAGCTCTCCATCCCGATCATCAACACAAGTATGTGTGTATATGTATATAGGAATATATATATACATATTCATGGATGTATACAATGTATACAGCGTATACATCAGCGACCTCATCGTTCAAACCAGCGCAAGGTTGGCAGGTTCCCAAAGCTCGCTTCTAGAGCCGCAGGTTGTGACGCTGTGGTATAGAGCTCCAGATGTTCTGATGGGCTCGCGGAAGTAGCAGCCCCAGAGTGTTTCGATTTCCAGGATGGAACCACCGGAGAGGGGAACATGGATGATGCAAATACCATTTGGTGGCTGATCCTGTGGCTTCATAGTTTTATGAACCTCCTGGGGGCGGAAACCATTTTGACAGGCAGCGCTTTTTTGCTTGCGAGGAAACATGAAATTCGTCAGATCAAGAGGACCATACTAATCAGGAGTGATTCCCCCTTGGTGGGAAGGTGATTCATTTTGGGGATTCTTCAGATTTGGTCTTTGGATCTTTCTTAGAGGTTAACATTGAGTCGACCGTATGGCTTCCCAGTGATGGGAACACTTGACATGCCTGATGTGTCGGAGCGCAGGTATTCGACTCCAGTAGACATCTGGTCGGTTGGCTGCATCTTCGCAGGTTCGGAGCTTGGGATATCGCCCGCTTGGGACCACGGTTTGCCCGAACAAACACAGCTCCCTGCTAGAACCTTTCAAGGGTGTTTGTGGGAAGGCTGGACCATACATGCACAACGATGCGGAAGACGGTCGTATATACACATGATAATGATTGTTGGCCATTCTTCAACGAAGCCAAACAGGGCTCCTCCAGCCTCCAGCCTTGATAGGCATTTCTGCCAGCATGCTGAATTGCTTTGCAGAACGAATGACGGGTATGTTTTGCTTAAAAATCAATAGGTGTCCTTTGGAAGGCAAAGCCTAAACCGACCATACTCCAGTCATTTTGAGGGGTTCCAAAACCAGCTCATTCTCTCCCTCGCACCCGCTCGCACCCTTGTGTCGGCGCGCCAGAAATGGTGAACGGGCGTCCGCTCTTCCCGGGAGACACCGACGCCAACCAGCTGCAGAAGATCTTCAAGGCCCGAAAAAAGTCCGGAAGCGAACCCTGCGTATGGGGCGAAATCCATTTCGAACTGCGCTGTAAATACTAAGAAACGACAGTTTGCTTTGGTGTCAAAGTGCTGTGAAATGGATTTCGTCCATCCACAGCAGGGGGAATCAATCACTTGTAACAATAGGGGGACTCAAAAAATGACGGGGGGGACTTTGCTTTTGGTCTTCCACGATCGATAATGTGCTATGTGGGGCCCTGAAAACAATCCCTCATTTTAGGTGGGTGGTTGGGTGGTTCCCAAACAAACATAACCCCGTAAAGCAAGCACATGTCTTTGGATGGATTTCGACAATTCTTGTTAATCATTATTCTCTCTACATCCCTCAGTTTTCTCAGGTGTTTGAGGGTTTATTAGAACGAATGGGGAAGTGTCCGCTAGAACATTCGACCAAGACCAAACATATACGGCGACTTGGGTGGGGGGTTCGCTTCAAGGAAGGCTGGGACGCGTGAAAGAAAGGACCCCCTCCAGAAACCAGAAGGGTTCTTGTTTTGGTGCCCTTTTTGGGGTTGGTGCAAAGGGAACACATTTGCCGGCGACACATTCCAGCAACACATTTGCCGGCGCAACAGAAAATCCTCAAGGGAGAAGCAGACTTGGTGGTTGGCATGGGAACAACATAACGATACTTGCCTTCATGGGACGAAGGTGAGTTTGCTTTGACTCGATGGCTTGGGTTTGACTTGTGCCTTATCAATGTCCAGAACTGATGACTTATGACACTATCATTTTTTCACAGTTCATGCTAAGTTCGGGCGCATACCCCAAAAGTATAGCTTCTATGAGTGAGTTTGGTTTTAAAGTACCCGAAGACCTGATTACTGCAATCCTTGTACAGGATTGCTCGGAACCTCTGAAAGATGACCAACCCACAAAGGTAGACCATTGGTACTTGGAACCCGGGGAACAACTTACCCTTGGCCGCTCAGATCTTGGGAGCAACCATGTCGTGGTAGAGCACGTGGTAGGGAGCCCCCACACCACTGACACAGTAGTTCTAGGAATGGTCCATTTCGGCCTCGCAAGGTATTTTGACCATAATATGTGTTTGTTTGGTTGGTTTCTGAGTTGTCTTTTGGCGTCCCTCAAAATGCCAAGATGGGGTCCACCACCCCGGGTGGGGGCGACTGCGACTCCGCCGGGCGACCCCCGAGCCTCTGAGATCCTTGGCACTCCCACGGCGGAGCTTTGGCCCTCGATCACCGAGCTGCCCGACTGGAAGCCGGACTTCACCATGCGCGCCGCCTAGCCGGTTTGGCCCTGCCAGGGCTGGAGCTTCTTTGTCTGACCCGAAAAGGGCGCGCTTGCTTCTTCTTTTGGTGTCCCTTGAAATATTTTGGTCTCCCTTTGAAACAAAAAGGGGTATCCTGCAAAAAGACACCCGCGTTGCTCAGATGAAGCAACAAGGGACTGATCCCTTGCCCGAATCTTTATTTTCGGCGAGCGAACACAGCCTGCAAGCAGCCGTTTGTTGGAGCGAAACCAGCCGCTGCCGACTTTTTCCATTCTATCATTCTCTCTGGCGGCTGGGGGTGGTAGATTCCAACGGCACGGGCGGAGTCACTGGCCGGCAAGGTTCGATCCTCAGCCGTGGGGTAACATCACGCCTTCTCTGGACGCCGCAGCCTTGGAATTCCGGAGTTCGGCCCTCTCTCTCCACAGGTTCCGTGAACATCTTCAGTCTATTGTTGAGGGACAGGGGGGACGAGCTCCAAATTGCTGACAAACTGGGGGATTCTCGAATTGTCCCATCTTCACTGGGGTGACAGTAGATCTGAAGGGCTCACATGGGGATGTACACTAAGCCTGCGCAATTGCGCTTCACTGCTGCCGGGTCCTTTAGCGGGGGAACGGATGGACAATGTCATATGTCATGCCTGCAGCACGCCCCAGGTGCATGCTGCAGGGTGACCAACAAATGTTTAAACAACCAGCCACCAGGGTGCAAGTTGAACCCAGCGACGAGCAGTGGACTCGTGAAGAGCGGAGGAGTCCTGTGCGGCCATTATTCTTCAGGGAAACCAGAGGGAGTGTTGAAGCACCAGCGCTTCAAGCATTTTAAACAAAGGCTGAGAGGTCTGCGAACCAGGTCCCGCGTGGCTATTCAATCGGGTATGTGTCAAAAGGGGCCCCTCTTTTCATTCGGAAGGGAAGGGTTGGTGTTTTTGTCGTGGAACGGCTTGGGCGAGACGAGCTGGCCATTGAACAAGTCAAAGGGACTGGGGGCTTTTCGGTTTGGTTTCCACGGAAACCCAAGCATCGTTTGCAGAATCTCCTTTTGGGCGACATTAGACCCTCCTTTCTCAAAATGGGGACTGGTGGCTTCTTGTGTTTTTTTGCCCCCGCTTTAGAATCCCTAAACCCGGCCTTTTGAGGGTTTCCTTTGGTGTCCCTTCCTTTTTGGCCACAAAAAGGCAAATCCAATATCACATTAAGAACATCAGTTTGATATTTGTTTAAACACACAAACAGGAGGCTGACTTCGAAATGGAGGCCATCTTAGAAACAATGAACTTCCGCACTTGGTAGGAGGCGGATTTCCACCCACCCACCCGCACCAGGCGGAGGGCATGGACCTCATGTCGGTACACCTGCCATGCAGTTGCAGCCAAAAGCTTTCCGCGGATACATTTTCGGGGCGCGGTTCATGGGGTTTCTGGGTTTCCGCCTCTGAAATTCAGAGAAAAAGGTAGGTGTTTGGTTCCCTGGTTTATGTAGACTCTAGGCTTGTACAAAGCCGCAGGTTTGTGGCAAGGAGATCTTTTCCACTGTCATATTTTTCCGGACCGAAAGCCCTTCAAGTCAAGACTTCCAGCACAGAAACAGATCACACCCCAAAAGCCACCCCTTTTGGAGGGATCTCCTTTGCATGGGGACCTTTTTTTTGCGTTCCATGTGATTCTGGGGAGTAACTCCCCCCACTCTGACCGAGGTGGAAGCTGAAGACTTACGCCAGGGCTTCCGACATGTCCCCTTAAACTGTCAGCAGTAGGGAACCTCACCTCTGGGCTCGCAAGGTGATCTTTCAAATCACCATAGAAAATTCGCGCGTTCTCAACGGGCACTTTTTGACAGGTTCCCTTTCCGGAGACCCACTGGAGTGCATGGCGCGCGCCGCCAGAAATTCCTCCAGTACTGGCCGGAGAAGCGAATATCTGGCAAAGCCGCCCAGGACCATGACTACTTCAGGCGCCGGGTTTTGTTTGGTCATTTTTTTCGACGCAACCCCCCGTTTTCGAACAACACATCACAAAGCCTGCTTCATTCAACGTTTTTCGAAGACCGCTCAGCAGCGTTTGCCGACGGGGAAGCTTACCCAGTCAGGATGTTTCTCTGACTCCCTGGGACCGAATCGAGGGTGTCATGGATCAAGTCTTTGGGTCGACCACGGATATGTCGGGCGGCTTTCGACCCACGGCCTGTTTCGGGGGGCCCCGTGAGACAGATGCGAGGGGTCTCAGCGAAGCCATCAAGAACATGAAGTGAGCGGGGCGTCGAGTGTGAGTCTCGCAAGCGGCGCAAGCGGCTTGCTTGCGCCGGTCAACGCTTACCCACTTTGGAGAGTACTCGATGTTTACTTGTGCGCCATACGTGGTTCTTTCGTGCTTTGTCCTTCATGGAGCGGACTGTGCGCTGCTTCACAATGTCAAGGGAGCTTTGACTCGGGCAGTGGGCACATGCATGCAAACACACACACACACAGACATCAAGTATGAGTATGTTTGCGTACATTCATATTGCATTTACACACATACATCATATGTGCGTGCATGTATGGTATGTCGGCTATGTGTGAATTGAGCGCACCATTTGCGTACATGCTTGAGTGAGTTTCATTGCAGTCCGGATTCGTGCTTTTTCCCTCTCCTCCCCCCACATTTTTTCTTGGCATAGCAACTGTTGAATGTGCGCAAAGTTTAGTTTCTGTGCTTCCCAGTAATTATTTGAACAGTTTACTTTCTTTATAATCTGCGCACATGCTTTATCAAATCCTTGATGTGTCGGAACTACTGATGCATGAAACCACGAGCTTTGACAACGGAGCTGTCAAGTGTGCAAGAAGGAGACTGCGAGGGGTCAGCGCAGAGACTTAGTGTCTGCATGAGCAGAATGTAAGTACCTGGGCTGCACAAAAATCCGAGCCTAGACTGCGTGAGGGTACCTTTCGGATGTTGCTGTAATCTCCAGCCAAATGAGACTGGGCCGGTTCAATGCAGTCCGCCAATCGCTTTCGCACCAGCTGCTGATTTGCGGTTGTGCCAGATCGTTCGTGTCACACAGAGAGCATGCAGCGCATCCAGCGCGGGAGTCGTTGAGAGAAAGTCTCACACAGATTGTTGGAGGAAAGCGTCCTTGAATGTGGAATATGGGTTCTAGCTTGTTCTTTAGGGTGCACCGTTCTTGCGCACTGCAGCCGCGTGACAGGCGGCATTTGCTCTGGACCTGGGATGGCTAGCTTCAGTTAATGCCGAGCTGAATGCTTACATGAGTTTATGTTGCCAAAGTGAAGCCAGAAGACAAACCCACATCCCAAGACGCCTGACAGCAGACGGGCACAGCAGTTTTTCTTGTGTTTCCGCAGCCTGCTTGGCTTTAGGAAATGCAGGCAGAGCAACTGCTGTTTTTGAGCGCATGGAAGCCTACGGCATGCGTTCATACAATTGAGGTCTTTGGAAGACAATTTAAGGTGTCACATCAGGCATTGCCGTCAGCAGACTTGGCACCGTATCTAAATAGTCTATCTCTCCATCTATCTATGTATGCATATATATATATACACATATTATACAACACATCTGAGATTGATCGGTTACTTTGTTAGAGCTTCAGCTGCTTCGCAGTCGCGGTCTTGTGCTCATGCTCCTCGGCTTGGTGGCTGCAAACAGTGGGAACCCCCCAAAGGCTTCGGAGATTTTCCCGTTTGATCAGAATTTGATGCACAGTCCACATGTGCTTTAGTGGGTAGGCTCTGCTGGCTTCGCAAAGTTTTCGCGCCGCCTGATTGAATCGATTTCTCCCAGCTCTAAGGCATGCGCTGTCTCGAGTTGAGGCGGAGGCGGCAACCTGCGGCAACACGTTGCCAAACTGCAGAGCCCCCCCCCTTTTCCTCTCATGAGCCATGTCCTCAAATCCCAGGTAGATGAGTAAAGGATAGTCACAACCACAAATGGGTGCAGCTGCGTTTTGAATTCTTTTTCATGGTGTTGGGTGGACTATTGCAACTCCAGGTTTTGTTTATGACTGAAATTTTGCTTCAGAGCCATAGCAAGAGCCATAGCCTACTCGTGACTAGCGACACGTGACTATGGCCATTAAGGACCATTGGCGGTCATAGCCTTCCCAGGCTCCCTTGACTCTGAATCAATTCGGGATTTTTAGGAACTCGTTCTGGAACACCTTGGCAAGGGAACGCCTTTTGAAATGCCAACCCGTGGTTCCCTTGTTTCCAACGTGCTCATGGAAGTGGACAAGGAGCCTTTCCGAAACCCTCCGATTGTCCACTTCCAGGATTGTTGGAAAGAGGGCAAGACCAGAGCAGGGCCCCTTTTCAGTTTGATTCGTGACGCTTCGGCAGCGTTGGGAGTCCTTTTCCAAGCACGCAGATGGGTTGCAACCGGGGAGAAATGACAACATGGGGTTTGGTTTCCTCTTCGTTCCCTTAAAAACAACTCTAAAACGGGTACTGAGCCTCCAACAAGACACACCCACATGCGCGGGATCATCGGAGGCCGATGTGATCATCAGCCAGCTGTCTCAGGAGGCCTGGCGCTTCGAATCCCCGTAGGCTAGGGGGGTGTAGCCCCAAACCTCAACTACCAATTTTACTACGGGTTGCACTCCCGTATTTGGAGGGGATTGCAGCCAGGGCTTGAATATAAACATTTATGACCATATTGGCAGAACCAAACTCCAATTTGGGCGCTCCTCGCAGGTGTGCTTCGCAACGTTACGAGACCCTTCAAGTGGTTCCCTTCAGAAACATCAACGGGCTCCCCAGACAGAGAGACCCTCTTGCCTTTTCCATGCAGTTTTTCCTTCGCGCTTCCGAGCCCGCGACTTGGTGAAACCTCACAGCGCGGTGACGCGCGAGCCTTCCGACTGCAGGCCGCCTCGCTCGAGATCGCCAGCAAGGTCGCCGGCAAAGGCTTCTGCGTGGCGCCTGTCTAAGGTGGAGCCGGCGGGAGGGGTCCGAATCCGCGTGCCTTGAACTTGAAGGTTGGGTTTTGCAAGGGCCAGCTTCAGCTAAGTTTCTCTTTGGTGATTATAAATGGGGCATATCAGGCACATGACCAGAATGTTGATAGAATTTCTTGCGGACTTCCTACTTCAGGCCGGGAATTCTTGAAGCCAGACAAGTGCATCCTAGCGGGCGTCACGACCATCCCGAAGAAAATCGCTCCGTTCGCCAAGCGCTTTCTGCCTCGCGCCGTTCGCTGAGGCTGCCCCGGGGTTTGAGAGCGAGGTGCTGAAGAACGCCCTGGATGAGGTGCTGAGTTTTGGAGAACGCACCTGGTTCCTTATTTTGGTTATGGGCTTAGGGTGACACCTGAAAACATGAAATTTAGGGTATATTTTAGCACGGAAACGGGGGAAGGCGAAACAACATGAAACGGGAACCAAGTGAGTCATAATCAAAACCTGGGGGTCGCGGGGTGGGGAATGATTCCAAATGTCTCCATATGAGTGCAACAGCCCCTCCAGCCCCAACCTGGGCCTGAGGACACGTCAGCCACTCTGTGCTGGACCTTTCATCAATTCAAGGTTCGGCAAAGGGTGATGTAGGCGAAATCCCCCTGAACTTGAACACAGCGTAGCAGATTCAAAAGATACACCATGAACAAGCGCCCCCCCGCCAATTTCCCAGGCCTGCTGCGTGACAATGGTCAAAGTCACCCCCTAAGTGGTAGGTTAAAAGGAAACTTAACCCCATTTTCTGACTTTGATAAACCCCAGAAACGGTCAAATAATGACCCCAGTCATTTTTGGGTTCCCCTCTTCGACCAATTCCTCGCGCCTTGCTGCAGATCTCGGACTTTGCCAAGAGCGACCGATGGCAGCAGGTCAATACGGTCATCCAGGCCTGAGTCTAGTTGGCTGTCGGTCAAAACCAATTGTATCCCATTTTGGGGTAGGTGCACCACCTATTTTGGTCTATGTTAGTGGGGATGGGGATGTTCACTGGGGTACGGGCTTTTGACCCATGGCCAGTTGCACGTGCTATGCGAACGCTATGTGTGCGTTTATGTGCTGCTTGTCGGTGCTGCGAAAAAGGCGTCCACTAGGAAGCCACAAGGGGCCTCCATGGTCCATCCTGTGCCATAGCATCCCTTCGCAGGACGGGCTTCTCGGAACGGAAGGCTCCGCCTTTATCTCCGAATTGGAGTCCGGAGCCCTTCTCACGTCCGGGTGGGTTGGGACGCCTCCCCAACTCATTTTCATTAAAAAATCCATTAAAAGTGCCTTGACGGATGTGAAGGAGTTTCCGACTGCTCACCAACACAAATTTTTGGCGCCCCCGGGTCCCCCACCCGCATTTCAGCGCTCGACTCGCAAGCGCGAGTGACGAAGGTCGCCTGACAAGGACCGCCTGTCACGGGGTGATGGCGATGCCAGCGCCTGAGTGTTTGAGCATGATTTTGGGGGACCCCATTTTAGCTTAAAGGGAATCAGGAATCCACCCATTTGGGGGGTTCCCCTTACTTGAGACACACGGATGTAGCCCTCAAGGCTTATTATGGATTAATAGGGGTTATTTCCACCAAAAGTGCAGGACACCCTCGCAGATGAGACGCAATATCAAGCAAGGGTTCCCGAATCGACCCTTGAAGTGGGTCCAGAGGTGCTCATGGAGTTGGACACTGCGATGACTCATTTGGGCTTCCACATCCAGCTGGAGCCCCAATCGGAGGTTGTTGTTTTGTCCTTTGGTCTAAGGTTCGAGGGGGTGAGGGGATTTCTTGGTTTCCAGATAGATGCAGTTCTTCGCTCTTCTGGGGGGTGGGGTGGGGGTTTCGGAAGGTCTGGGGGGGCGATTTGGGGGGTATCCATGGACCACACACGCATACACACACACACACACACATGGCTGCAAACGATGTGCAGCATCGATTGATCTTTGACCCATGGTCACGTGGTTCAGGGGTTGGGATGTGTGCGGACGCCACGTTCAAGTTCTTCCGAACATTGGATCTCAAGACATTGGCCTTCTGCGTGCGTTCACAAGTGACATGGGCTTTAGGAGAGACGGCTGGGAACCCCCGAAGACTGTTCAAATGGGTTTCATGCTCCAATAGCGCATCTTGTTTGCGACCTTTCGGGACTTGGCCATGCCATGTCGCTGTCCAATGACTTCGAAATTCGCGTTCGCCTTGGGTACCAGGGTCCCTCAGCTGGCCACTGGCCAGAAGGGGCAATGATATCGATGCCATCTCGTTCAGCTTCCAATCTCTCTTTTGGATTCTCGAACCTGTTCAATCCCTTTGGAGACATGGGATACCACCACTTTGTGGGACACCACCACTTTGTGGGACACCACCACTTTATGGGACACCACGACTTTGTGGGACACCACGACTTTGTGGGACACCACGACTTTCTGGGACACCACCACCTTGTGGGACACCGCGACTTTGTGGGACACCACCACTTCGTGGGACACCACGACTTTGTGGACACCATGTTTTTGTGGGACACCACCACTTCGTGGGACGCCACGACTTTGTGGGACACCACGACTTTGTGCGACACCACGACTTTGTGGGACACCATGTTTTGTGGGACACAACCACTTTGTGGGGCACCACGACTTTTTGGGACACCACGACTTTGTGGGACACCACGACTTTGTGGGACACCATGTTTTTGTGGGACACAACTGCTTTGTGGGACACCACGACTTTGTGGGACACCACCGGGACACCACGACTTTGTGGGACACTACGACTTTGTGGGACACCACGACTTTGTGCGACGCAACGACTTTGTGCGACACCACGACTTTGTGCGACACCACGTCTTTGTGGGACACCGCCGCTTCGTGGGACACCACGGTGTGGGACACCACGACTTTGTGGGACACAACCACTTTGTGGGACACCACGACTTTGTGGGACACCACGATTTTGTGGGACACCACGACTTTGTGGGACCCCACGGCTTTGTGGGACACCACGACTTTGTGGGACACCACGACTTTGTGGGACACCACGACTTTGTGCGAAACCACGACTTTGTTGGACACACCCATTTTGTGGGACACCACGACTTTGTGGGACACCACGACTTTGTGCGACACCACGACTTTGTAAAACACCACGACTTTGTGGGACACCATCACTTTGTGGGACACCACGACTTTGTGGGACATCGTGGCTTTGTGGGACACCGCGACTTTGTGGGACACCACCTCTTTGTGGGACACCACGACTTTGTGGAACACCACCACTTTGTGGGATACCACCACTTTGTGGGACACCACCACTTTGTGGGACACCACGACTTTGTGGGACACCACCGCTTTGTGGGACACCACGACTTTGTGGCACACTACCACTTCGTGGGACACCACGACTTTCTGGGACACCACGACTTTCTGGGACACCATCGCTTTGTGGGATACCACGACTTCTTGCGACACCACGACTTTGTGGGACACCTCGACATGGTGCGACACCGCCACTTTGTGCGACACCACGACTTTGTGGGACACCACGACTTTGTGCGACACCATCACTTTGTGGGACACCATCACTTTGTGGGACACCAGAAGCCCCCGCTTTGTGGGACACGGGACCACACCAGTTTGCGGGACACGGGACACCACTATTTTGTGGCAAATAAAAACCAATACATATATATATATATATATATAAAAAATATACATGGTTGGACTCACATCTACATGTATATACGTACATATCATATTTATCTCGATTTTACACGTATATGCGTGTATATACATGTATACACACCAAGTATAGATCGGGACACCGAACGCGTAGCCTTTGACTCGTAGGCCTTACCTGGCCAGCTTTGGTGTGGAGGCTGGGCCATCCGGCGGTCTCGTTCGCTTGGAAGTGAGGGGATTTGTTCAATGGGTTCTAATACTCGGATCCCAGCTTGCACCGAAAATCATGCGTGTATTCGAAAGGAACCCTACTTGTTAGAAGCCGTTTGGGTGTTTCTCAATATGGGGGTCCCCTAAAATGATTGTTGATTGGTTTACTTAATGGTTTCCCATCAACAACCATCTAAAGAGGGTCCACTCAAGTTGGCCAACCAAATGGTTCCCGCTTCAACGAGCTTTGCAGCTCTCTCTTTTGTGCCATGCCGACTGCAAATCGTTTCCTGTCATTGACCTGGTCGGAACAGTGGTCCTCAGAACTTCTTTTTTTTTTGCAAAATGTTTTTTTTTTTGTGTGTGTGTGTGCAGGGGTCTTTGCATTTCCCTTAATTAGAGTGGTCTCAAGATGACATGTGGGTTGTACGTTTCAATTGAGTTCCCGTTTGGTGGTCAGAAGGTCATTTCCGTTTTTAGGCCTCCCCTGGTTTTGAGACAAATCCTGCGGCAGAAGATTAAAGCTGGAGGGATCAGAGACGGGGTCACGTTGATTTGAAGACATGTTAGTTGAGCCAGTTTCAACTAAGTTTGTCTTTGTCTAGAGGCAGCATAATAGGCAAGCCTGCTGTGGTGTCTGGGAGCACAAACATGACGACCCCTTTGGTTTCACGTAAAAGCCGACAGGGAAGCCACACCCAATTCGAGGTGACTCACAGAGGCCGCGCTATTGTTCACCAGGCAGGGCGGGAACATGGTTTGCACAAGTCAGGGCAATGCTGCGGACGGACAAACATCCTCAGTTGGGATTGGTGGTTTATCTGTTTGTGTCTTTGAGTTTCATCCATCTCAACTGGTGTAGCGTTTTGTCCATCCACAGTATGTCGTTTCAGACCCGCATAGCATACATTTGGTGAGGCAATTGCACAGCACATGGTTATAATGTCAATCAGCCTGCGGTAAAGGCCGAGCAGCAATCGGAATCAGCGCTGATTCGTAGGCATGGCGGGGCGTCCTGCAAAGCAAGGTCTGTTGATCAGCTTGACCGTGTGGTTTCGTGGGTGGGAGTGCAACATTGACTGCACAGGCACTAAGCACAGCAGAGCCTGCAGTGTAAAGAAGCCGACAGCGCCCTGCTACGATCCATTAGGTATCACTCTGCTCGAACAGACACGTTGTGCCCTTGCAGGCAGGAGAGCCAGGGGAGGAGCGCGTTACCCTCACCGACAAGGAGGCTGGATCAGCACGAGTTTGAACACGGCGCGGAGTGGTGCAAAAGCATGGCCAGGATGGACACGAGCAACTGACATATTCATTGGTCATCTCCACTCAAATGTTCCACAGAAAGCGGGGGCCTATCCAAACTTGCCACGTCCCTTTAGAACTTTAGGACACATAATATTCTGTCAATGGTTTATGGTTTGCGTGTTCCATCCTGGCAGCGAGGAGCATTGTTTTGCCAGCAACTGTCCAATTAAACACTTGCACTGGCAGCTTGCTGGGGGGTGCTGCAAGACATCACATATGGCCTTAGCATGTGAGCACCGGTCAATATTTGACGTTGTCTACTGTAGGCAAGGGAATGACATTGGGTTCAAGCAACTGCCAGGAAATGGTGAGCCCACTACTAAATTTCAAATAGCTGCATTTTTTGTTTTTGTGTCACCCACTCAACGGCCCCGAATTGAGTGATGCGCCATCTACTGCAGACTTGGAAACACACGGGGCTCGGAAACAAGGCGCCCTGAAGGATTGGAAATGCAAGGGGCCTCGGAGGCATCATACTCGAACACATCATTCAAAGAGCCCAATACTAAATTTCCAATAGCTGCCTCTTTTGTTTTTGTGTCTCTCACTCAACGGCCCCGAATTGGAGTGATGCGCCATCTATTGGCGCTGTCACGTGAAAATGCCTTGTGCACGCCCCCCCCGCCAGCAGATGGCGCGTGTGTTTTTGGGGTTTAGAATGCAGTAGTCTTCGGTTTTTTTCTGCAGGGACGGTGCCAACCGTGCACTGTGATGTGCCAGGTGTTTTTGCCAACTTGCTGACAAGTCCATCAGAGTTGCATGCATTCAGCCGCAGCCAACTGGCTACGTGCCAAAGTCAGCGACTCCCTTTTGCTGGATTTCAAAGAGGAAATCGACGGGACATTGAGATGACCATTTGGAGGGGATTTCTCTCCTTTTCACACATTCCCAACAGAGCACCACATCTATATTTCTACATTGTTTTGCGTGCGTGTATATCAAAACAGACATGAGCCACCCTTTGATTGTTTGGTGTCCTTAAGCCATCCAAAGCGGTCCCACGCTGCAAGCACTTGCCAGGGTTAGCTTTATGCTTTTCTAGTCTTCTTTAATTCCCTCTTCAACCAGCAACCAGTTAACTTTCAACCGCGTTCCCTTTTCAGCCATTGTCCCGTTGAACCCTTACCGATTTGCAAATCAACTTGGTTGCTTGAGTCGCAAGGGCTCACTAGCATTCGGCTGCGACAACTCATGGTGATGTGATGGTATCATCCCCCCCCACTCCACCCCCCCACCCCCGCGCTTCTAGCGCTCTTTGTTGGGATCGTTTTTTTTCTGGCCCAGGGCGGATCGGAGAGTTGAACAGCGCCATGGCTCAGCGTCTAGCGCCATGGCCTCAACACGGCGGCGTCTTCACGGCTTTCGGCGAGGCAGTGGATTTGGTGCTCGAGGCGCGGAAAAGCAAAGGTAGGGGTGAGTGAGTCCAACGGGCATGAGAGGGCTGGCAAAATGTGGAGAAAAAAGTAAACCGAAGGACACTGGCCTTCTTTTTTGGAAGGCACACTCACTGGAAGCACTGGGGACTTGTCACTTAGGCGATTTCCTGAGAACAGAACTTAGCGGGCCGAATTGTGAATTCTAAACCGAATCTGCCAAGTCAGCAAACAGCCAACAAGCGCTTTAAGTGCCATGACCAAGCACCAGGGTGCTGTCATGAGGTGCACACACGCGCGCAGGCACACGCACACGCCCGCGCCCACGCGCACGGGCACGCGCACGCACATGCGCACGCACATGCGCACGACCTGACTTGTTCATTTTGGTTACTTCTTATTCTAAAGGGGTCCGCAAGATCACTGTATTGCGTCTTGGAGTGTGCCACACTGCAGTTCCAGGGTGTCAGCACTGCAGGCACTGAAGCGGCACAGGCTTGATCGCTGAAGCGCCAGTGGATTGGTTTCGCACATGGTGCACGCCATATGTTGTGATTTTTTGGTGCTGTCAATGCTGCCTGAAAAAGCATCCTTGCCTGGCCAGAAACACATTTATGACTTTCGAGACATTTGCATTGACTCCTGCAATTGAGCTCGCTTGAACATGGAGCCCCAAAGCAGGGGCCCTCAAAAGGAGATCCCTCTACCAATCATGGTTAGTGGGGATCCATGTAAAGTTGGGCCAGATGTGGCAAAGCTCCCCGAGATTGGCCATGCTGCGGATCAAAGCCCAATCAGTCCCGAAGCGTGGCAAAGCTCCCCGAGATTGGCCATGCTGCGGATCAAAGCCCAATCAGTCCCGAAGCCCGCACCGCTTTGGGATGGGCCTTCGCGCCCTTTGGGCTCTCAGAAGCGGTTTTCCCCAGATAGCTGAAAGCTATAGGGGTTCTAACTTCCAATAGTGAAAGGAAACTGATTTGCGAGATTGACGGCTGGGTGCTGGGGGGGCGTGCAGTTTGGGGTGTTGGTGTAGGTGCTGTGTGGGAGCTGCTGGTGGTTTTTTTGCTTGAGCCCCAGGCAGAAAGCGAGGAGGTGGACATGGAAGATGAGACCTGGACCTGGGCTGAACGCGCTCAGATTTGGCGGCAGCGGCATCACACGAAAGCGCTGGGCCGTGCAGCACAGACGCCTGTTGAGCATTGTGCGTATTTGTGTGTATTTGTGCGTGGTTGTTTTGGTCTGTTGTGTTTTGGTGTTCGTTTGTTCTGCTTGCTTGCTTGCTTGCTTGCTTGCTTGCTTGCTTGCTTGCTTGCTTGCTTGCTTGCTTGCTTGCTTGCTTGCTTGCTT